AAGTTATTTTTTTCTAATGAAGGTTGATAGTATTTGACCATATGGATAAGCCATCGTTTAATCAGTTTCATATTGATACTTATTCAGCTATTTCCAATCTCTTGCTATTTAAAAAAATGACTCTCTTTGTGCATTTTTAAAAAGTTGGAGTCTATCTAAAGCTTAAATTCCCAGAAATGCATTTGAATATTACCAAATTGCTTGCTGGAGAGGTTGTACCGATGTATATTCTTGTCAATAATTCATGAGATCACCTATTTCCCCTATACCTCCACAGTTTTTCCTAGAACTTAGCCCAATCATTACCTGCATGTTTTAAATGATGACGAGTGTTGATGGCAGTAACACAGGGACTTCCTTACAAGCCAAGCAATTAAATTCTAGAGCAAGCTATTTGGGAGCATTGGGGGAAGTCCTCTATTGAAGATGGCTAAGAATAAGCCACCTTTGTGTTTTATGACCAGAATAATTTATCACAATATATAGTGATTTTATAAAGAGAAACAGAAAAATCCTGAATGTCCATCTAGTCTGATGGTTCTCAAAGAATGGTCGGCAGATAACTTGGATCAGAATCACATGGTGGGAGGGATAGGGTTTGTTGAAAATCCAGATTTCTATTTCTAAAAGCGATATGCTTTCATTGTAAAACATTTCAAAAAGAGAAGCAAAAAGAGAAGAGTAATAATGCTGATGCTGCTTTAAGTGCTAAACCTGAATTTATCTGATTTGAATCTTCACAATCCTCTGAAAGCAGTTTTGCTGTTACTTTTTCCTCTCACATTTTATAGGTGAAGAAACTGAGGCACCATGAGGTTGTCATTTTTACATGATAGTGCTAATAAGTGGTGTAACCACAACTTAAACTTTAGTATTTCTAAAGCCTGAAGTTGAATTCCAGAGCATGCACTCTGAATTTTACTTTATTTTATTTATTTATTTTTTAAAGAAATAGAAAGCTTTTCTTCGATGATAAATATTTTCTGTTTCAAAAATAAATTAATCTAAAAAGGCAACATTTTGGTTGGTAAGACATTGAGACCGTTAACAAATCCGTGAGTCAAATGGATACACGGAGCAGTTTCCTTCTGCACTTTTGACAGTTAGTTTGATTTCATTTAGATTTTTGACTTCTCCTAGGATTACCGCTTCATAAGTCAAACTCAGGGAAACCAATCCACCTAGTTTAAAATAAAATGACGTTAATTCCCAATTTTTCTAAGAACTTCATTCCTTCTCACATCTTTTCTTTGTCAGCCCCAGGACTGTTAGCCA